ATTAAATAAGATCAGTTAAGTAAATTATTTTATCAGATGTCATAAGGACTTTTGCCAGGCAATCACTTTTTTTTCTAATTATAAAATTAAGAAAAAAAAATCTGAAAATATGAAAGTTTAGCAAAACAGGAAAAATAAAATTTTTCCAGCCCAGGGGCTAACTTTTGGTTATATTTCTTTCCAGTTTTATTTTACAAAGTTGGTCACACTGAGTGTTGTTTTTTAAATCTTTTAATGTCAACTAAAAGTTATATATTCTACATGTATAATAAACTATATGTAATAAGTTATCCATAACTTATTTCAACCACAACCTCAACAATAGCACTTTGATTGATTTTAACTATTTACTACTAAAAACTAATATATTTTAGGCACAAAGTGTCCATACATCTAATTCTTTCTTTCAGCCTGAGTGGTTTTTTTTTGTTTTTTTGGTATTGGGAACTGAAGGTAAAGGGGCACTCTCACCGTAAAGCTATATCCCCAGACCTTTTTATTTATTTATTTTTTTATATCTTGAAGGAGATCTCACTAAACTGCTGAAGCTGGCCTAGAATTTGGCAATTCTCTTGCCTCAGACATATGAGTTGCTGAGATTACTGGCATATGCCACCACACCTGGCTCAGGCTGAGTTCGAGAGGTGAAGTAGGTAGTTTAAGGGTCATTAACACGTTCATGACTTTTGGTAAACATACTGTTAAGTTCCTTTCCAAAACAGCTATATTAATGCATCCCCACATCCTTTCCAACATTAATGTTCTCATATAAAAAATTTTATAGATGAAAAGTGAACTACCAATTATTTTAATTTGTATTTCCTGAATTATGCTAAGGTTAAATTTTCTCCCATGTTTATGTCCTTCATTCATAATACATACAGAATACCAATTACAATTTCTTCTAGTATTAAGAAATTTATTTTTAAAAAGTAAAAAAATAAAAACTTTATTACTAAAACTCTTACTGATATATTTAGTACAAATAGGAATATACCCCAACCCTCAGTACCCATTATCTCTTGTGTATGAAGATTGAACTATCTCCTTGTTTTTTTTCAAAAAAACAAAAATAGTAGCAAGGTAGATATGCTTTTCTACACCTGATTTTTCTTATTTTGGAGATCTAATCTTACCTGTACATACAAATCTACTTCCTCTTAAGAGGCAGCATTTACTCAATGATATGCAGTTAGGTTTTTTTTGTTTTGTTTTGTTTGCAGTGCTGGGGATCAAACCAAAGGCCTTGCATGTGCTAAGTAAGCACTCTACCACTATTGTAGCATCTTTTATTTGAGTCTTTTATTGATGGATAGAGGTAGTTTTCAGATTTTAGTTATTATAAGCAACACTATAATTAATACCCTTGTACAGATATTTTCAGGATAAAGTGTTAGAAGGAAAACTGCTGAGTCAAATATGTGCATTTTAACTTATGATATTGCTATATTGCTCTTTTAAAGTTATAAGATTTTTTTTAAAGAGAGATGAGAGAGAGAAAATTTTTTTAATATTTATTTTTCAGTTTTCGGTGGACACAACTCTTTATTTTTATGTGGTGCTGAGGATCGAACCCAGTGCCACGCGCATGCCAGGTGAGCACGTTACCGCTTGAGCCACATCTCCAGCCCAAAAAAGTTATATCATTTAACACATTCAAAAAGTTCATGTCTTGCTTACAATGAAAACTGTCAACTGATATATATGAAAGGAATACCAGAGTTAGAAAAATCCTCATTTTTCAACCATCACAGTTAAGATCAGTTCAGAAAAGTATCATGAACAAATGCTTTATCTAGGGGGAGAGACTTTAATGAGCAAGATATTTTTATGATCTTACAGTGTTTCCCAACAGATTGCTCCAAGAGAAGGGAAAAACAGTAATCATATAGTAATGGACAACATCTTGAGTGATCAAAAGGACTACCACCAGGAACGGAATGTTGGACACTCTATGCCTCCATATGATACCCTGAGAAATATAGGACATCACTTTTGTTCCAACCATAATTACATAATCTAAATCTAGTCATGAGGAAAGAGCACACAAATTCCATCCAAAGTGCATTCTATTAAAAAGAGGGAAAACAGCCGGGCGTGTTGGCGTACACCTGTAATTCCAGCAGCTCAGGAGGCTAAGGCAGATGGATTGAGAGTTCAAAGCTAGCCTCAACAATTGAGCCAGGCCCTAAGCAACTTAGCAAAACCATGTCTCTGAATAAAATATAAAAAAAAAGAGCTGGGGATGTGGGTCAGTGGTTCGGTACCCCTGGGTTCAATCCCTACACCACCATCCCCTAAAAAAGAGAGGAAGCAGAGGAAGGCTGTGTCCCTCAAAAATATCCACACCATTAGACACAAAGAAAAGCTGAGGATCTGTAGATACTGAAGAGTACTAAACAGGTATGCATTAAATGCAGGATATAATTTCAGACTCAATTTTATACTATAGGGCAAATTACTAAGAAGAACTGATTAGGTGGCAGACACAGAATCTGAATACTATAAATATTTCTCTCTTTCTCGCTGTTTCATGGTACTGAGATTGAACCCTAGAGCCTTATACATACATGCTAGGCAAGTACTGTTGAGCTGCTTTCCCACCCTTTTTCATTTTTTTGTTTTTATACAGGATCTCACTAAATTGCCCAAAGTGGCCTCAAATCTGCAATCCTGCCTCAGCCTCCAAGTAGCTGGGATTATAGATAAGCACCACAGCACTCAGTAGTATTATTACAGATTTTTGGAGGCTTGATGCACAATGAGATGTTTGGGGGAAAGAGGTAGTATGTGCAACTTACTCTCCAACAGTTCAGGAGGGGGAAAGCACACAAATAAATACATATATATAAGATACGTAAGAGAAAAAGTGAAAAAAATCAAAGAGACAACATATTTATTAGCGGCTATATAAGGAATATATAGTGTTTTTCAGGTCATTACTTAAACTACTATTAATTTGAAATTATTTACAAATAATGTTCTTTAGGATTAAAAAGGAGGGAAAATAATGACTGACCCTATCATTCCTACACACGACACACCCACAGCATGTGAGTGCCTGTTTTCCCATCCTCATTAACCTATGTATTATAGAAAATTTCTAATATTGGTCAGTGATGTATAAAAAATGGTATCTCAGTTGTTGTTTTTTTAAAGAGAGAGAATTTTTTAATATTTATTTTTTAGTTTTTGGTAGACACAACATCTTTATTTTTTATTTTTTATGTCGTGCTGAGGATCAAACCCAGTGCCCCGTGCATGCCAGGCAAGCGGACAACCGCTTGAGCCACATCCCCAGCCCAGGTACCTCAGTTTTAACTTGCACTTGTTAGGCAAGATTAAACATTTTATGCTAAAGGATATTTTATTTTCTGCCACTATCTCTTCCTGATTTAAAATTTTTTTGTGCGCATGTGTACTGGGGATTGAACTCAGGGGCACTCAACCACTGAGCCACATCCTCAGCCCCTTTTTGCATTTTAGAGTCAGGGGTTTTGCTGAGTTTCTTAAGGCCTCAATAATTTGCTGAGGCTGGTTTTGAACGAGCAATCCTCCTGCCTCAGCCTCCGAAGGCACTGGGATTATAGGCGTGTGCCATTGCACCTGGCTTAAAAATGTTTTTTATAGTTAAAATACTTCATCTTTCTGAAATTTACCTTGATGTAAAATGAAGATAAAGATTTTCAAGAGTGCTAACCCACTATTCCAGGAATATTTATTCAATCAATTTTCTGACCCACTGATTGATGTCCTTTCAGGTATCCCTTGAGAATACAAATATATATTTTTAAATTTGTATTTCTCTTCTTAAGTATTAACTCAATCTGATCTTTTTTTAAATTCCAACTAAATAGATAAGATCTTCCATAATGATACATCAGTACAAGTATTTAACTAAACAACCAATGATGGTTCAAAAACGGTGTTCCAAACAACTCACAACCCATACATTCAAATGTAGACGATATATATTTAACTATTCCCACATATGTAATATAAATTTGGGTAAGTTTTACACATTGTATACTGAATCACTGTTGGAGCCTAAGGTACTTATTTTGGATCAGTAACAGCATTAAAAAGGAATTTAATTCAACAAATAAAAGCATTCAACAAAAATAAATATCAATAATTTCAAATGGGATCACATTTTCCCTTACAATTATCAGTATGTGAAGCCTTGTTTTTTATAAGGAGAAAAAAAATTGCCTAAAATTCACAATACTTCCTTCAGTGACTACTCAGAACAAACTTGAAGAAAATGTCTATAATCTAAAATATTCTTCATACTCTTATTTTTCTTAGCTGCTTCTTATCCAAAGACTGAGAGAGTACAGCCAGCCTTTTTTGCTGTAAAAGTCTTGAGAGCAGGGGCTATCTCTTCTACTTTCTGTGTGAATATCCACAATATGAAGAATACTACTCAAGCTGGGCATGGTGGCACACACCTGTAATTCCTGTGGTTTGGGATTACAAAATGCTGAGACAGGAAGATCACAAACTAGAGGCCAGCCTCAGAAACTTAGATCAGCCCTGAGCAACTTAGTGATACCCTATCTCAAAATAAAAAATAAAAAACGTCTGGGGATGTGGCTCAGGGGTTAAATGCCCCCAGTTTGTTCAATCCATGGTACCAACAAAAACAAACAAAAAAACCCAGGAATGCTGTTTTATATACAACAGATGCTCAATGAATGGTATTGATAGAGGAAATATAATAAGATAAAAACCCTTTAAAAAAAAATCTAAGTTCCTATAACAGCGTTTAGCTGTTGCTCAAGCTGGTCTTGAACTCTCTGGGCTCAAGCAATCCTCCCATTTTAGCCTCATGAGTAGCTGTGACTATAAGCATTAAACCACCACATCCAGCAATAGCAATGTTTTAAAATACCATTCATAACCATATAGGTGGGCAAAAATATTCATAATAAAATAATTTAAATATATAGAGAATGAAATCTAAGTGCTTTAAGAATTTTAATAATACAAACTCTTACCTCTTCAAAAACAGCAGCTTTATTTACTTTTTCCCTTGCAATGTCACAGATTTTCAAGATTCCCAGAGCAAAAGCTTTCATGGCAGGATCTTCTATAAAGTCTGGATTATGAATATAAAGGCACGTAAATACTGTCTGTGCCAAGGAATGGCCTTCTAACCATGTTATCTATAGAGAAATAAAAGAATGTACATTTTTTAAGGTGATACAGAGTCTGCAAAGTTTAAATTGATCCAACAAAGGCCAGAGTGCAACCTTGATCATAATCACAAGATTTAAAAGACAATTAAGACAAGGTTAGAAAAGAACTAGAATTCACTTTCACTGACTAAAGCTTTTCAAGAATAATGTACAGGTTGAATGTCCCTTATCCAAAATCCTTAGGACCAGAAATGTTTCAGATTTCAGAGTATTTTGGATATAGAAAATATGCACAAAATTTATCTGCTAAGTGTCCCTAATCTGATATCTCAAAACTTTTTTTTTTTTTTTTTTTTTGGTACAAGGGTCTGAACCCAGGGGGGCACTTAACAACTGACCCACATCCCCATCCCTTTTTAATAATTCATTTAGAGACAAGGTCTTGCTGAGTTGCTCAGGGCATTGCTAAGTTGCTGAGGCTGTCTTTGAACTCACAATTCACCTGCCTCAGCTTCCCAAGCCAGTAGGATAACAGGGATGTACCACTGTAACTGGCTGCAATCTGAAACTTTTGAGCATTGTGTCACTGCTCAAAATTTTTCAGATTTTGAATTTTCAGATTAGGGATAACCAGCCTGCACTACAAATGATTAGCCATCTATGAAAAGCATTTTCAGATATAATTCAGTTTATGATATACTTGGAGACTAATGAAATTAAACAGTGATTCTTTAAGTAGTATTAAAATACAATCAATTCCACAACATAGTCAATAAAAATCCATAAATTGGGGAATTCACAATTTGGAACTAATCAGATTCTTTGCCTCTCATTCAACTCTTCCTTTTTGTCCTCACCATCACTAACTCAGCCAACAGCATCATCTTACCTAAGATGACTATAAGAAACTACAATGGTTTTCATGCCTTTCATCTCCAATTTAATACCCTTAACCAGAGGGACCACTGTAGAACATAAAGATAAGCATTCAACACTATTTTACTCTATGATGGAAGCTAGGAATATCAACAATAGTCAAAACTAACTAACTATTTATGTACCAAGAATTTATGCTAGGTATTTTCATATAACTTTATCTCATTTTTCTATAACACCCAGAGAAATATGGTATTTTTCTCCTTTCACATGTAAGGAAACAGAGTTAAAGAGTTTATGTAATTTGTCCAAGTTACTCAGTGCAAGGGAACAAGACAAATGCTACTCCATTACAAAATGAAACTGGTTGTGTAAAATATTATAATTAAGGTGTATATCTGGAATGACTATTGTGCAGAAGAGAGACTTTTCAGATTAAAAACCATCTGACAATTAAAACCCAAACTCTCGGGGCCAGGGTTGTGGCTTAGTGGTAGAGAGATTGCCTAACATGCATGAGGCACTGGGTTTAATCCTCAGCACCGCATAAAAATAAATAAATAAATATTATGTTCATCTACAACTAAAAAAAAATTAAAAAACAAAACAAAACTCTTAAATATAGTTCCAAAAGACTCACAAAATAGATCCTCAACTTTGGCAAAACTCCTCCTTCTGTTTACCTTTTCTACCTCCTCTAGTCTCACGCACCTCCCACTTGGATCCATGCCAGACTTCATCCACAAATAGCTTTGTTCAGGAGTCCCCAAAATAAGACATTTTTACTCTGCCATAACTATGCTGTGTGTGTGTGTGTGTGTGTGTGTGTGATACTGTTTTGCCTACAATTCCATAATCCCATTATCTTGACATTCCTACCATTCTTCATACATAATTATCTCCTCCTCTCTGCCCCCACAGCACAATTATGAAAACATTTACTTGTAAGAATATTTTCTTTGTGTGTCTGTCTGGACCAATCCTCTGTCTCCCTCTCCTACCCTACTAGAACTGTAAAATGCTAAAAGATAATGAAAATATCTTTGAGGGAAAGAGACAGCTTTGGAAGACAAAGGATCTGGATTAGGAGTGGGGCCATGATCCATGTTAGCACTGTAACCCTAAATGATACAAGAAAACACAGGTAACTAACAGATATAAGACCTAAAAGAAAATTATATTGTGTGTGCGCTTCTCTCACACTTGGCAATCTATTTGTTAAACGAACAAATTAATAATTATTACATGTTCCTAAGAACAATCTTTTTAAATAGCAATTAAAAGGAAAAAAAAAAACGGATGGTCAGAAGAGGGGTAGGGAGCAGTACAAATGAGAATTTTTCCACAACTAAACAATACTATCAGGGAGACATATATCCAGTAGACAAACATTAAAAAATATTCCTTCAGAAAAGACTGCAGAACTTATCCTAGATTGGACAAAAATCTCTCCAAAGCCAATTCAAACCACCCTTTGTTTCAATTATGTTTACCTTATTGAAACTTCTAATTACAGATTTATTTCTCTGGGTAATTTGAGAACAAAAAGGGTACTCAAAATAATAGCTATAATATCTTAATTGTAAAGAAATTATCCCTTTACGAAGAAAATGGGAGCCTAAAAGCACCCAGATGGAAATTAAAATGCTATTTCCTATGGCATTATTTAGCTCGATAATCTTATGTAAGTCTTAGAAAACCTGGCATTGCATATACTTCATAATCAACATTGGGTATATATTTTAAAATTCAAAGATTTAGGTAGATCAAAGTTTTGTTTGTTTAATTAACCAGCAGTCTTATTTTAATTCTTACCAAACAGCAAAAACATGTATCCATTATCCCTATCAACTCAGGCAAGGTAAGGTCTTTAATTTTAATGGTGCCATCCTAAAAAAAGGAAAAAATATCACACGTAAGCAGAAATTTTTAATATTTATGGTTACTATAAGCAGCAGCATTTTGGATTTCAAAAATTTGATATTTAAAAACAGCAATTCTAAGAAAATGATAGCTCATCATTTGACATAGCTAAGACACCAAATTAACTTTGTATTCTTAAAATAATACTTTGTAAATTTTATTTTTAATTTTCAAATAATAATTACAGAAAGTATATATTCTAAATAGATCATCAAATACTTTAATGTGAAACAATAAAGACCTTTATAATAAAAAGTAAAATCACAAGTACTTTAAAGCACAGTTCAAATTAGTTTTAAGCATTCATAAATGTGATTCATTCTAATAATCAAAACTACTTATTAAAAAAAGTTTCAATTTAAAACTATTTTCCTCAAGTTTTTTAACTACTTATAAATTTTGTTAATAATGTTCACTTTGCTTAGCTAGTCTTTCTTCATAAAGTATGCAATTTCTGGCAACTACAAATGAATTTCTAATTCAACTGGCATTGAGTAAATTTTAAATTCATACCATTATTATTTGCTTAATATATTATTACATAAAACGTAATCTTCCAAGCCAATTATCCTGGTATTCGAATATATACTAAAATGCTTTCAAAAATTAAGTTAAAAGTATACAAATGCACAAATTTAGAGCAAGTTTATAAGAAGACCTCAAATAATTAATTTCTAGAGTTCAAAAGGTAGATTGGTAAATGTTAGAACTAATTCTTGTTTATCATACTTGAGTTGCTTTCAAAAAAAATCCGCTTTAACATAGTATGTTTGATTTCATTATTAAGCACAGGTTTTAACATATGAAGTAACAAAAGGTAAAAGAAAACATAAAAAATACAACCTTGATAGCTTGTTCAAAATTGAGAACTTTTCGATTAACTTGATTGCCAATCATGCCAGCATCCATCTTGGGATCCATCATTTCAATAGCAGACATGGCTTCAAAAAGACCAAATCTGCAAATAAATCAGTTCCACAAATTGTTTTTGAACCCAAACCCAAATTCTTACATTAAATTTTATTAAGATACTTTTAGCAACTATGGTATTCTATGTAATTAAAGTCTTTCTAATTTGCTAATACTTCTACTTCAATTAATCATCCCTTAACAAAAATGCTTTCATTTACTTGCCATTCAAATTATTTTACAAGTACTGTGAGAAATTAAAAAAAAATTTTTTTATTCTTCATTGGAAAAGGCTATGCATTAGAAATTTTTGGAATAAAACAGATCAACTGATCTACAATGGATTGCTCTTTGCCTTCTTTAAATAACTTCCTCTAGCATTCAGAAAGTCATATTTCGAATAATCATTATCACTTTCACTTTTTCTTCGTTTTCTTCATGTCTTAAAAGTACAATAATCTGGCACACTGAGGTCTACAATGCCCAAAGTTTTGGCAACTTGTAATAATAAACACTCTAGAAATCCTAACAGTCTGATATTTGTTACTAATTTGCCATAAAGCCAAATAATTGTGACAGTCTGTTAACTGATTAATAAGAATATCCTTGAGATACATATACCTCAAGAAATGGAAGAGGAAAACAAAAAAGCCTAAAAGAAAGCTTGACTAGTCATCAAGCTAATGACTTACTTTCTTAAGTCATTAGACAACCAGAAAATAAAGACAACTACACTATCACATATCCAATCCTATCATTTCTCAGATAAAAAGTAGTTAAAATATCAAAAAAAAGGAGACAGTATGAATATATAACAATGAATCCCATCTGTACATACAAACATAGTGCACCAATAAAAAAAGTGGGAAAGCAAAAAAAAAAAGGAAGAGATTTTCTTCCAACCACTCTCATCTAATGCTTCAATTTACTGACAATAAGATTATATGATCATATTATTAAAGACAACTGGCATCTACAAATCTGATGACTAGTAACCAAATCCCAAATAATATTTTTCAAAGAGCTTCTCAAGCTAGAAGAGAAAATATGTAAAAATGAAAGAAATTTTGTCAATAAAAAAAATACAGATTAACCAAATATCAAACAAACTATAAAACTACAACAGTTGGGGCTGGGGATATAGCTCATTGGTAGAGAACCTGTCTAGCATTGATTAGGCTGTGGGTTTAATTCTCTAAACGACAAAAAATAAAAGTATAAAACAAAGCTATAATAATTAAAAACTTTCTAGAATACATAGAAAAATAGAAAAGAATATAAAGAATCCACACCTAAATTTCTGTGAAAACTATGTATAATAAAGGTGAAATTACAAATCACTGGAGAAAAACGATCACTCAATAAATACTGTCAGAAAAATGGCTATCCTCATGGAAAAAGTTAAATTTCTTATTCACACAATTTGAAAAAATAAGCCTGAGGCAGGTATAAGTTCTAAACCTAAAACAAGCCAACAAACAAAAAGCTTTCCTTCAACAATTCACAAAGCAATATAGGAAAAAGTTGGTAATTGCAACTGAGGAAATATTTTGAATTCTCAAAGTGGAACATCAACATCAACCTTATCTGGAAATATGTGAGAAATTCAAAATCTGTGGCTCCATACCAGACCTATTAAATACACAACATTGGGGATAGGAGCCAGCAATATGTGCTTTTAAAAGCCCTCCAGATAAGCCTGATGCACACGAAAGTTTGAGAAGGACTTTTTGTTTGTGAGTGTCTCCTCTTACTAAAAAAGACATGTCCAATCCTGTCCACTTACTATTTCAAAATTCTGTATTTCGAAACTTGAAACTAAGCCTGGCCATAGTAATATGGAAACAGAGGCTACCTATGGAAGTATAAATATAATTAAGTATTTCCTTTTATTTTTTCCAGGGATTCTCAATTTACTTCTATACAGGCATTTAGTCACTTGAGATTGGTCATCAACCAGCCAATCATACGTGACATACAAATGATATCTTTTCAAGAAATTCCACATTCAGTACATCCACCCTCAAGAAAAGAATCATGTAAGTCATAATTTCACTAGGTAACAGCCATTTCACATCCCAATGGGGGTCAGCTGCCCCAGAACAGCTCACCAAAGTTAAACGTGTATGTGTGTGCATATACATATATATAATTCATTTTTACAATCTTTGAAAGTAAACTTACCCAACACTACTATATTTAAGAAAAAACTAGATCAAAATATGACACAAGAGTATTCACAGGACACATACTTACAGTTTATCATGAAGCAGTTCTCCCAACTTTAATTCTAAAATAAACAAGAGAAAAAATGCTTTTAATATATTTAACTTTCAATTCTAACAAAAAAACTTTAAAAACGTAATCACCTAAAGAGATGTAAAGAAGCAATATCCAGAACTTTACCCAATCCTCCTAGCTAATCATATGTTAAAAAACTTTTAACAGTTCCAGGTACCAAAATGGATAAATGACATTAAAGCATAACAGAAAATATTAAGCTAGAGATTCTCAAGAGTGATCTGGGAACCCAGGAGTTGGTGATATTAAAATAACTTCTGTTGTATTTTGCACTGTGTTGACATTTGCACTGGTGATGCAAAAGCAATGGTGGGAAGGGGTAAAAAAAAAACAGCAATAATATATAAAACTCTTGTAGCTTCAGCACAAACTAAACTATTATTGTTCACTTTTAGTTAAAAAGAACCCTCCTCCATAATTCAATTTCACTTAAGAATGTCTTTGATGACTACTATTCACTAAGGAAACACAATCAAAAACTATAATGACACCACCTTACACCTATTAGGATTGCCAATGATTAAAGAATAAAAAATATACTGGGGACGTAGCTCAATGGTAAAACAGCTGCTTGCATGTGTGAGGCCCTGGGTTCAATTTCCAGCATATAAATTTTGGTTCATTATTTTAAAAAAAGGCTGGGATGTAGCTCAGTGGTTAAATGCCCTTGGGTTCAATCCCCAACATTATCAAAAAAGAAAGATTTACATTAAACAGGGATGAGAGGTGGGAGGGAAAGGGAGTGAGAAGGGAAATCGCATGGAAATGGAAGGCGATCCTCAGGGTTATACAAAATGATATATAAGAGGAAAGGAGGGGTAAGACAAGATAATACAAATGGAAGAAATGATTTACAGTAGAAGAGGTAGAGAGAGAATAGGGGAGGGGAGGGGGGGAGGGGGGATAGTAGAGAATAGGACTGACAGCAGAATACATCAGACACTAGAAAGGCAATATGTCAATCAATGGAAAGGTAACTGATGTGATACAGCAATCTGTATACGGGGTAAAGTTGGGAGTTCATAACCCGCTTGAATCAAACTGTGAAATATGATGTATTAAGAACTATGTAATGTTTTGAACGACCAACAATAAAAAAAAAAAGAAAAGAAAGAGGAGCTGGGGGTTGCAGATCAGTGGTAGAGTGCTTGCCTCGCATGCGAGAGGCACTGGGTTTGATCCTCGGCATCACATAAAATAAAGATACTGTGTACATCTACAATTAAAAATATATTAAAAGAAAAAAAAGAATACAGGTATTATAAGGATGTGAAGACATTGTTGGTGGGATTCTTAGATAGTACAGCTATTGTGGAAAACAATATCAACAACGTGGCTGTTCCTCAAAATATTAAAAAGAGTATTACCACAGAATCCAATAATTACACTTCTGAGCACATACCCAGAACTGAAAAAGGATCCTGAAGGAATTTCTGCACTCCCATGTCCATAGCAGTATTATTCACAACAGCTAAAAGATGGAAGCAACCTAAGTGCCCATCAATGAATAAACAGATAATCAAAATGTCCCATATGTATACAATGGAATACTGTTCAACCTTATAAAGGAAAAAGATTCTGACATATGCTGAAATATGGATGACCCTTAAGGACATTACACTAATTGGGAAAAACAATCAGAGAAAAACAAATACTGTGAGATTCTACCTGTATGAAGATTTAGTTAAAAATCACTGACACAGACTATAAACTGGTAATTGCCAGGGGATGAGGAGGAGGGGGAGAAACAGGGAGATAACTGTTTAACAGATACAAAGTGTCAGTTTGCAAGATAAAAAAATTTACAGAGATAAATGGTAGTGATTGTAGCACAACATTATCAAAGTATAAAATACCACTGAAGGCTGGCATAGTGGAGCACACCTGTAATTCCAGCAGCTGAGGAGGCTGAAGTAGGAGAATCATGAGTTTAAAGCCAGCCTCAGCAAAAGCAAGGCGCTAAGCAACTCAGTGAGAACCTGTCTTGAAATAAAATACAAAATAGGGCTTAAGTGCCCCTGAATTCAATCCTTAGCACCAAAACAACAACAACAACAAAAAAAAAAAAAACGCCACTGAACTGAATGATTAAAAATAAGATGGAATTTTTTTATGTTAGGTTTATCTTAACACAACAAAAAAATTAAGAAAACAAAAAACAAAAAAAATCCTTGATAAAGCTATAAAAATTATTAATCTCAGGGCCAGGGCCAGGACCAGGGTATGGCTAGGAAGGTATCTACAGTGTAAAATGTGAGGAGACATTTTCAATTCCTGCCTTCTTAAATTTTGTAGGTTCCTAATACATTGCCCCTAATTAATCTTTCAAATCTCAACCTCTGAGTAATGCCCATTAAATACTGTACTCAGCAAAAGAGGAAGGCATTAATACTTCTGCTGCATACCAAAATAAGATAACTGCCTCAGGGTTATTCAGACTTGAGAATATGGCATTTTAAAAAAAGTGACTTAACTGATTGAAGAAAAAAAGTTACAATGTTTGTTGTCAATGATAAAATTTGAGCTTTCAAGCAAAATTTATATTTTGGAAAACATGTGCCACTCTGACAGTTTCCCAACACTCAGAAGATCTTTCTATATCAGTGATATTAACAAAACTTGAAGCAATGTGTTAATGTGGAAAATCTGCATAACTCACTGAACCAATATTTTCCAATGGTAGTACATGCTACAGAATCAAGCATGGATTGAGGATCCATTCAAAATCTAAAAGAAACCAATAGATTTTTAATAGAATAAAAAGCCCACTGATAGGGTTTCACATTCCACACTGCAACTAATCTTTAATCTTGAAACTACAACCTGTCAAGTTTTGGGTATAGTATCAAAGAACAACCACAATCATCTGAAAAGACTCTTCTATTTTTCAACTACATATTTGGTGAGGCCAGATTTATTTCATATGCTTCAAGCAATTACAGAAGCAAATATGAAAATTCAGTGGCCCTTTATTATGGCAGACATTAAGTATATTTGCAAAACTAGAAATGACTCCACTTTTCTAAATTATTTTTTTGTTTTGGAACACACATATTTTTCATTAAAAAATACATAGTTGTTAACATTCAATGGGTTTATTATGATTGCTTTTAAATGAATTAATAAAGTTTTAAAATTTCTCAGTTTAAATTCTAGTAAGTACACATGGACAATAATTTTAAGGTATATAATAGAATCCTGATCCAAAAAGTTTAAGAACTGCTGTAATAATCTATCATACACTAAGGATAAATATGAACCAAATCGCTTCACCAAACTTAAAAATACCCCACAAGCTATTAGCAAATCCATCACTCTGGAACTTGGTTTTCTTAACTATAAAATGAAAGGTTAAACTGTATGATTTATAAGATCCCTTAAACACCCTGGGTATTCCTGAACACTTCAGAGAGAGTCTCATGGAACAACAAATAAAACTGAAGGCCAGGGTACAATACTAGAAAGAGAAGTACTAAGTGAACATGTGAATACTTCAGACCACTCCCGTCACTTAACTGTTAAGTCATGGGCAGTCATGTCAGATCTTCAACCTCAAGGCAGATTAGTTAAGTTTTCTCTAGAGAATATAGTTTTCCAAGAAGAAAGAGCTACAAAATTGATATCCAAGGTTCTCCAAAATGAAAGCCCAGTCAAATCACTCCATATTGGTATTCACAATAAAGGGTTCCACTCAGAAATTCAGAGCTTCCAACAGGCTTTTTAATACTCCATCTGAAGTGGAGTAAACATATATGGGTAAACAAAAATTCAAAAGAACTATTATTACCCTTAAAGAGATAAAATAGTATAACACTGAAACAAAAATAGGATATGTTTAAAAAAGAAGAAGAAGAAGGAGAAGGAGAAGGAGAAGGAGAAGGAGAAGGAGAAGGAGAAGGAGGAGAAGGAGAAGGAGAAGGAGGAGAAGAAAGAAACATCCAGAGACAAACATGTAAAATTAAAAACATCATCATAGCAGGGCATACCAAGTGCTTAGCATGAACAAGCTTCCTGAGTTCAATCTCCAGCACCAAAATAAGAAAAGAGGAAAACAAAACAAAACAAAACAAAAAACCCATATCAGAAAATAAATTTTCAAGAGAAGACTGGAAGATAAAGTTGAGGGAAAAGACAAAGTAAGGACAGTGTAGAAAAAGTAGAATAATTCAAGGACACTTACTAGAACTGAAGTATCAAAATGAAAGGGCCTTAGAGTCAACAAGGCAACTGCTATGTAAGTTCTGGACCCGGTGGATAAACAAGAGCCTGAAAGACTACATAGGAAAGCTCAAGAACCAAACTTCTTAATAGCAACATTGAAACAACAATCAACATACAATGCCCTCAAATTCTCCAAGGTACTCAAATGGTACCATCCATTAAGTTGGAGAACAGAAATAAAGACATTTTCAGACATTCAGAGCATACCCCAAAATTGTACATCACATACATTTTATCAGGAAGACTATAATAACATCTCACAAGGAGAAAAGACACTCTAGGCTAATGATGAGCACAAGCTCAGAATGAAGTTGCATACAGATCCAAAAGGTAAGAAGCCCAATAGCAATCAAGATAGTCAAAAAATTTCTTAACAGAGACAAACCAATAGGATAAATATCTAAAGAAAACAGAGGACTGGTAAGAGTCTGAAGTATAATTAATGTGTGATTTTCTGTGAAATTTTTGTGAAAAAAATAGTTATACACAAAGGGTAAAGTAGAAGAGTTTTAACTCTAAGTTCAGCTAATAGTTCTGCATAACATAACATATCGTAGCTATCTATAAGAGAAAAATTCATAGATAATGACTAAATAGAGGATAAGAATCAAGAACTAGTAATAAAAACATGCTATCTAGAATCATAAATACCAAAATAATCAGTTAAAAAGAGGAAAATTATGTCTTTCAGGTACTCATTTTCTACTGACCAAAAGCTTCTAAAATAATGTAAGATACATGATTAAAGGGAAAATCTCTCTTTCTCTC